TGTAAGGATGGCACCTTTTGCTGTTTCTGTTTGTGTCTGTGTTACCCTAGTGTTTCCTCGTCAGTTTAATTGTTGCCACCTTTGTCTTGTCACACCTGCTGTTTGTAATCACGTCTTGTCTTGTCCTTGTATATAAACCTCCTGTCCTGTGTTATTCCTTTGTCGGGTCGTATTCGTTGGGTCTCTGCGTTCTCCTGCGTCTCCCCTGAGCTTTCCTGAGTCCTCCCTGAGTTTCCCTTTGAGCCATCCGTCTTCATGTAAGTTTTGCTGCCACGTCAGCTGTTTGTTTTGTTCTTCATTTATTATTAAAATACTTATTTTTTGTAATCTGCCGAGTTTGAGTCCTGTCTGCACTTTGGGTTCGTTCCTGTCCACAAAATCCTGACAGACTGTGCTGTTAAATAAAGGATCTGGACAGTCCAAAGACACAGCTAATTCCTATCAGGGAATTTTGGTCAAGGTTTATGGATGTTTTAGTGCCTGAGGATGTTAACTGCCCATGAACCATGTGTTTGAGTTACCAGAGAGTTGTTTTCTCTCTCAGAGAGAGCTGAGTGAGGATCCTGCATGTGCAGATGGATGGCCAAGGACACCAATCTGTCTGTGAGCCGGAAGATGATAACGTATGAAATAATACCTCGCACACTGCTCGTGGCAGATTCTCGTGACTGGGCTGGGGCTCCATGTACGCATTGTCGAGCTAAAACAGTTGCTAAGGTTTTCCAGCTTTTGCAATCTGCTTTTAACATCATCCAGTCAGATTTGTTCTGTCTCAAACTTGTCCTAAACACCGATACAACCAAACGGGTGTTATTTTCAAACAGGAAGTCGGTCCCAGCAGTCCTTCCTTCGATTTTATCCTCGAATTTTGCTCCTATTGAGTTTGTCGATTCCCATAAATATTTGAGTATCTTGATCGATTCGCGTCTCTCTTTTAAGCCCCACATCGAAAACTTGGTAAAGAAACTGAAAGTTAAACTGGGTTTCTTTTTCAGAAACAGATCCTGTCTAACTCTGAATGCTAGAAAACGCCTTGTAACTGTGACTTTCATTCCCTACATTGACTACAGTGACATTATTTACATGAACGCTCCTACAAGCACCCTGCAGATGTTGGATGCTGTCTATCATGGTGCACTAAGATTCATAACTGGCTGTAACTACTGTACCCACCACTGCACCCTGTATTCACTGGTTAACTGGTCACCATTAACTTCACGCAGACTCTCTCACTGGTACATTTTCATCTTTAAATCCCTTCTTGGTCTGCTGCCTTCATACATCTCCTCCTACATGTCTCTGTGTGAGTGCAACTACAGTGTGTGCTGTCAGGACATTATTACCTGCAGTGTTCCCTCAGTGAGGACTGAACTTGGCAAAAGGGCCTTCTCCTACTCCGCTCCTGTTTCCTGGAATATCTTACAAAAAGATCTTAAGCTCTCGACCTTGACCTATAAAAGTGGCTTCAAGAATCTGTTAAGTTCGTGGCAAAAACCAACGCAGACATGTTCCTGTTTTTAGTTTTCTACATCGTTTTATAATGTAGCTGTTTTTGTATTGTTTTTTGTAAATATCATTTTCTTTCCATTTATTTTTCAGTTTACATGCTATTTTTATGATTGTCTACTGTTGTCATCATTCTTTGTTGAAATCAGGTCTCTCTTGTAAATGAGTCCTCGAGGCTCAGTGGGATTAACCTGTTTAAATAAAGGTTGAATGAATGTAGAACTTCTTCACATCTGTATAAGCAGTTGTGAAAGTCTGCCCTTGCAAGTAAAACCGGTTAAAATCGTCTCCTGCTGTCAAGTGTGGCTTCTTTGAGCAAGTGAGATGAATAGAGGACATTTTTATCCAACAGCTCCCTGCATTGTTTGCTGCTTATGTTGTTTTTCTTTTGGCTGCTCCCCTCTGTGGGGTCACCACAGTGAGCAAACTTGCATGAAAGATTTGCCACTCGTTTCACTTTGGATGCCCTTCCTAATGCCCTGGGCTCGGACCTGCAGCCTTAGGATTACAAGACTGTGCTACTCACAACCAAGCTACCGTGGCCCCACAACGTTTAATTATATTTAAATATACTGGGAGAGGTTTTACAGCATAAACAGGCCGGCAAAAGGAAGGGGAACACAAACACTGTCTGAATCAGTGGTGTGGAATTTGACTTTAGAAGAAAACAGGCTGTTGTGTGTTTGGGTGAACAACAGAGGCTGGCCTCTTTCTTTCTCTGTGCATCTTCTCTCCCCTCATGTTCAATCACGCGTGTTCACTGACCTGAAACTGTACGATCGAGACAAAGGACTAAATTCAGTAAAAAGAAAGAGCTGATGACTGGGAGGGGTACACCAAGTCCAGTTCTCTGAGCTGCTGTTGTCTTCTTGTAACCTGCATATTTAGCATCCTTTTTGGACCTTCCTCTTTCAAACTTGGGGACAAATCGGTTTAACCTCTCACGACTGTTATGAGCTTCCGTTCAAAAAGTGCCAACCTTTCTCACAATATAAGTTTACACTTTTTTTCCTCACCATCAAGGCCGGCCTGAGGCATAAACACCATAAGCAGCTGCTTGAGGCCCCAGCGCCACTAGGAGGCTCCCTAAGTGGATTAAAAAAATTATAATGACTTTTATTTGACTCTTGTTAGAAAGCCCACATTGTTTATATGGGGTTAGTTTGCTTGCTGAGCTAAGTTCTGTTTGACTGTAGCTTGGTTTCTTTCTGAATTTCATGATTCCTACGTTATTGAATGCACCGTGGCTGTTCTGACACTAGTTGACGAGGTTCTGTGTAAAGTACCGTGCTGCATGCAGTAAAGTCTTGTTCTTTCCTAACACGGACGGTCGGAGCTTTGTTTTTTGAGCATCTGTTGGTTTACTGCTGTGTGTAGTTGACAGAAGATGAGCTTAATGACGTCATATTATTTGTCTGGATGTTAACATCATGTTGATGTATATTTTAGTCATGCAGAAGTTAAGTTGCATTTAATGTGCTGTTAAAACTAATAAGCCCAAGTCATGTTCTCCATGTGCCTCATGTGAGACGTTTACTTTATATAATATGTATAATATACTTTATATTGCTTTATTATGGAATATAGTCCTTTATTATCCTTAGATATCACTTTATGTTTGTCTTGCCTATA